CACAAAATAGAGCGAAACACCCAACGTCAAAGACCTGGGACTGATCATGTCGGAGGATCTCACCTTCAAGGACCATAACATTGTATCAATCGCATCTGCTAGAAAAATGACAGGATGGATAATGAGAACTTTCAAAACTAGGGAGGCCAAGCCCATGATGACACTCTTCAGGTCACTTGTTCTATCTAGGCTGGAAATATTGCTGCAAATTAACAGCACCTTTCAAGGCAGGTGAAATTGCTGACCTAGAAAATGTACAGAGAATCTTCACGGCGCGCATAACGGAGATAAAACACCTCAATTACTGGGAGCGCTTGAGGTTCCTGAACCTGTATTCCCTGGAACGCAGGCGGGAGAGATACATAGATTATATACACCTGGAAAATCCTAGAGGGACTAGTACCGAACTTGCACACGAAAATCACTCACTACGAAGCAAAAGACTTGGCAGACGATGCAACATCCCCCCAATGAAAAGCAGGGGTGTCACTAGCACATTAAGAGACCATACAATAAGTGTCAGGGGCCCGAGACTGTTCAACTGCCTCCCAGCATACATAAGGGGGATTACCAACAGACCCCTGGCAGTCTTCAAGCTGGCACTGGACAAGCACCTAAAGTCGGTTCCTGACCAGCCGGGCTGTGGCTCGTACGTTGGTTTGCGTGCAGCCAGCAGCAACAGCCTGGTTGATCTGGCTCTGATCCACCAGGAGGCCTGGTCACAGACCGGGCCGCGGGGGCGTTGACCCCCGGAACTCTCTCCAGGTAAACTCCAGGTTGTTAGGTAAGACACATATGCAACAGTTAGGTATCTTTATTTCGAAACGTTTCGCCTACACAGTAGGCTTCTTCAGTCGAGTACAGAAAAGTTGATAGAAGCAGAAGAGACTTGAAGACGATGTAATCAGTCCATCACCCTTGAAGTTTTGAGGTGGTCAGTCCCTCAGTCTGGAGAAGAGTATTGTTCCATCGTCTGAAACATGTACTCGACTGAAGAAGCCTACTGTGTAGGCGAAACGTTTCGAAATAAAGATACCTAACTGTTGCATATTTGTCTTACCTAACATCCTGGCCCCGCCTCTTCACTGAGTGCTACTAGGTCCTCTCTCCCTGCTTCATGCGCTTGATCATACCTCATCTTAAAGCTATGTATGGGTCCTGCCTCTACTACCTCACTTGCTAGGCTATTCCACTTCCTAACTATGTGACTGAAGAAATGCTTCCTAACATCCCTTTGACTTATCTGGGTCTTCAACTTCCAATTGTGACCCCTTGTTTCTGTGTCCCTTGTCTGTCCAGCTTGTCTATTCCACGCAGTATTTTGTATGTCGTTATCATGTCCCCCCTAACCCTCCTGTCCTCCAGTGTCGTCAGGCCGATTTCCCTTAACCTTTCTTCGTAGGATATTCCCCTTAGTTCTGGAACTAACCTTGTCGCAAACTTTTTCACTTTCTCTAATTTCTTGACGTACTTGATCAAGTGTGGGTTCCAAACAGGCCTGACGTACACGGTGTACAGTGTCTTGAACGATTCCTTACTGAGGTGTCGGAACGCTGTTGTCAGGTTTGTCAGGGGCCCATATGCTGCAGCCGTTATACTGCCTTGCTCATGTTGACAGCGTTGTGGTTCTCTCATTCTCCTGGCTCCTCTTCTTCATTATTTTTACATCTGAAAAGCTTGGATTATAAAGCTTGTAATATTTTTGCAGTCTTGCCATTTTTGATGCCCTGGGCGAGATCATGTAAAGGTGCTTCCCCTCCGTCCCCCCCCTCTCTCTCTCTCTCTCTCTCTCTCTCTCTCTCTCTCTCTCTTATACAGGGTTTGACAAGATTAGGTTATGGATCTCTAGCTTTATTGACAAGCTATTTACAAGTTAAGGATTCCTAACTTTATTGACAAGCTAAGAGCTGTTACCTACATCAGCTCATTTGAAAGCATTTTATTATGAAACATACAAGTAGGGAACAGGATGAAGGTGGAGCCATCTGTAGGCCAGCATTTTCATTTGATCAACTGACTATCTCGTTGACATCATAATGCTGTACGAATGTGTTTCACACTCGAGTCATCCTGGGGATAAATGATCTCAGATGAAGTGATGTTCTGGAGAAGGGTACAGCCAGAGTAAAGTTGCGGCTTTCTGCCCGTCTTGTGGTATAGAAGCTTGCTTCTTGCTGTCCTTGAAGCGGATCCAAGTGTGGTACTTTGACAGTGTTGGCCTTGTACATAACAGTAAGGCCACCCATATCCTTCCTGTGTTGAAGGCTCTACTGAAATGACAGATCTATCCAGGATGGGTCCCAGCGAGAGATGAGACGTCTTGCTCTCTTCTCTACTGTCAAGTAGTCACAGATGAGAGGGGGGTGCAGGCAAACCAAGAAAGTGGAATATACTTAAGGTGTGAGCGTACTTGTGCCTCATAATCTTGCAACCCCTACTGTCAAGCAGATGCGAGATACGATAAAGTGTAAGCTTCCTGGCTGCCTTGTTTGCAAGATTTACAAGGTGGTTCATGGCCAGTTTGGAGTCAAATTTCACCCCAAGGACATCAACTTCTTCCCCAGGTACCAACACCCTCCCATTCATACTTACTACTGCATCGGCTTTACCGTCATGTTGACTAGAGAGCATCATCATTTGTTTTCTCAGGTGCAAATGTTACTTGCCATCGGTTTCCCCAAGCTGATATAGCTCTTAGCTGGTGATTGATGTAACCTAGAACAGCTGGTATTTCTTTTCTTGGATAAGTGAATGTCGGAGTACAGTCGTCTGCATATGCATGGGATTCTGGGATGAGATGAAGGTCATTGAAGCAGACATTCCATAACAATGGTCCCAGCATACTTCCTTGTGGAACACTTGCCCCAATAGGATGTCTTACTGATTCTGTTCCATTGAGAACTACCTTTAGAGATCTACCATGAAGGTAATCACTGAGAAGACAGCGTAGAGCCTGCAATTCCCAGTGCTTGCAGTTTTACCAAGAGGCCCTGGTGCCACACCCGGTCGAAAGCACCAGCAATGTCCAGTGCTACCACACAGCTGACTTAGGATTCATCCAGCGACTGGTGCCATTTAGTGGAGAGGTTTAGCAACAGATCAGCCATACTGACGGTCACAAAGTAGTGTGTGGTAGTTAAAAAAAAACTATCATTTGCCTCGAGATTATTGTCTCAAGGATCTTGCAAGTTTTCTGACAGGAGTGACACTGGTCTCTCGCTCTTTCCTCTCTCTCGCTCTTCTCTGACTTTCTCCTCTCTCTCTCTCTCTCTCTCTCTTTTCTCCTCTCTCTCTCTCTTCCTCCGTTAAAAGAATACCCCTCCCTCCCTCCCTTCCTCCGTGAATAAACTTTGCCGAAATACATCACACTGAATACGCGCTCTCTTTAAAACAGAGTCATCTTAATTATTGTTATGAACTTGAGATAAAGATGTCTTGCAATAAATTTTGTATAAAAACTAATGAAGCAATAAATATTCCAGAATATATGGCAAGCAAAATAAATTCCAAAATATACTGCATACAAAATAAACAAATATATATAAAAAAACAGCAGGTAATGTAGCTTATTAAAGGAATAAGATTGTGAGTATCAAGTAACTGAGCTTTAAGTTTTGTTTGGAAGTTTTAGGTCTGATAGTATACCTATTAAAACCCGATCTTCATAGCCTTCCATTATGGGAAGTCATCAATGATATCACAGGTAATCTGACCCGAAGCCACCTGGGTAATGACATCAAGATCACTGAGGCGATCTTGCTTCATGATTGAATCATGAGGACAGTCGGTGAGGTAGAGCCAGTGTCAGTGGTAAGGTGACAGAGGCTGTGAGAAAGGTGGCTCTCACAACGTACGTGTGTGTGTGTGTGTGTGTGTGTGTGTGTGTGTGTGTGTGTGTGTGTGTGTGTGTGTGTGTGTGTGTGTGTGTGTGTGTGTGTGTGTGTACTCGCCAAGTTGTGTTTACGGGGTCGATTCACTACTCCTGATCCCTCTTTTGGATTTGGCTTGACCGACATCTGCGAGACTTGAGCTTCCTTCCTAGATGGATGAACATCAGTTCATTTACTGTCATGCTGATAGATAGCAGTTCAGACAAATTCTTTACTGCTGCACGAGTTCTTTGCCACAGCTTAAATTTTTGCTAGGGAGCATCTGATGACTGTCACCTTCTTTGTCAAGTTTTTGAAGTTTGAGAGCACTTCAAACTTCTCTCACTTCTCCCATCAGTCTTTCTATTGAAGGTTTAATTGCTCTCATATCGGCTATTTTTCTCTACAATAGAAGCACCGGAGCTTGTTTAAGAAAAACCAAAACCGAGAGTGTTGTCACCTCTCGTCACCTGCTGTCGGCCGAGGCGGCTGCTTTAACACATTGCCCCCAGGGCGCAGGTATTACCACTCGCCTGGGTACCACTGTGTACTTACAGAGTTATACTTACCGAATTGTATAAAAGAAATATCTATGTAACGTGAGGTAACTGTCATCGGGCTTTATCAATAGACTGGACTGAGAGAGGCATTACATACTTTGTAACACTGAGTTGCTGTGGCGGGGTCGAGTCCCCGCTCTTGGCTCCTCCTACTCTTAACTACACTCGCCGACATTATTAGTTCCTGGAATCTTGGTCCCTGTCACTCTTCCTCTTAAGATTGTATATGCAGTTTACCTTCACCACTCGTCTATTTATCATCCTGAGGCTGAAAAAGTATTTCCTACTATCCCTGTACCTCATTTGTTTTGAGTTTTATCTATCCCTCTCGCCTCTGTGCCTCACATTTCATACAATTTGTCCCGAACCTTTCTGACAAATCCTCTGAGTACCTTGTATGTCCTGATCATGTCACTCCTGGTCTTTCTTTCTGCGATAGTTAGGCTCAATTCCTTTAGTTTCTCCTCACAGCTCAGTCTTCCCAACTCTAAAACTAGTCTTCTTACAAACTTATGGACCTTCTAGTTTCCCGACATGCTTGACAAGGCGTGAGCTCCACACGGGTGCTGTGTACTCTATGACAGGCATGACCTATGTAGTATACAGGTTCCTAAAATATTCCTTGATCATATGAAACAACCTGTCAGAGTAGAACACCATAAAGTACAACATGTCATAGTAGAACACCATAAAGTACAACATGTCATAGTAGAACACCATAAAGTACAACCTGTCATAGTAGAACACCATAAAGTACAACATGTCATAGTAGAACACCATAAAGTACATGTCATAGTAGAACACCATAAAGTACATGTCATAGTAGAACACCATAAAGTACAACATGTCATAGTAGAACACCATAAAGTACAACATGTCATAGTAGAACACCATAAAGTACAACATGTCATAGTAGAACACCATAAAGTACAACATGTCATAGTAGAACACCATAAAGTACAACTGTCATATAGAACACCATAAAGTACAACATGTCATAGTAGAACACCATAAAGTACAACATGTCATAGTAGAACACCATAAAGTACAACATGTCATAGTAGAACACCATAAAGTACATGTCATAGTAGAACACCATAAAGTACAACATGTCATAGTAGAACACCATAAAGTACATGTCATAGCAGAACACCATAAAGTACAACATGTCATAGTAGAACACCATAAAGTACAACCTGTCATAGTAGAACACCATAAAGTACAACCTGTCATAGTAGAACACCATAAAGTACAACATGTCATAGTAGAACACCATAAAGTCAACATTATAGTAACCATAACGTACAACCTGTCATAGTAGAACACCATAAAGTACAACTGTCATAGTAGAACACCATAAAGTACAACATGTCATAGTAGAACACCATAAAGTACAACATGTCATAGTAGAACACCATAAAGTACAACCTGTCATAGTAGAACACCATAAAGTACAACCTGTCATAGTAGAACACCATAAAGTACAACATGTCATAGTAGAACACCATAAAGTACAACATGTCATAGTAGAACACCATAAAGTACAACATGTCATAGAACACCATAAAGTACATGTCATAGTACAACGCCATAAAATACAAGGTGTAATCGTTGAACACCACAAAATACAAACTACCATAATGGAATACCATAAATTACAATCCTCCATAAAAACCTGATCATCAAGATCCTCAGTTCCTCCTCATCTATGGTTAAACTGTTAAGTTACCTAACCTGATCTCCTTAAATTTAACGTAATATGATATAGTAGAATTTACGAAACCTATCAAAGAATTTGCATACCTTCAACTTTCCCATTAGAGGAGAAGAACGGGTGAGCTTCAGTGATCCACACAAAGACCGATAATGCAAAGAATTATGTAGAGAAATGTGCTAAATTTACTCGACAAACAGCCTTTGATGCATAAAAAAAGATACCGAGATCAAGTGGTAAAAGTAGAATTTTGGTGGAAACAAAGCTTAGGCAAAATATCAGCTGCTCACAGGTACTGCAGACTGGTGACATTTTGCCACGTTTCTAGTGCTCACTCGGCATGGTAAAACCATAGTATATGCAAAGCAAACGTTTATTTACAGGCAATGCTTTGCTCTAAGCAAGCTTAAAAAGCTCTATTTAGAGTGAAACTCTGTAAATAAAGGGTTGCTCTACAGTGCCGGTAAGTGTCTGTCATCCAGCTTGCTAAATCACTGGCAGCGTCCTTGGTTAGTGCTCAAAATGCTAGTGTCTTACTTTTAGTGGAATTTGTAGCCTCCAATTTGCTCATTTCATAAATAAAACTGTTGAAGTACCACATTTACTCTCCTGGACCACTAAGAAATGGAACTATTTAACTGAAAATTAAAACGGACCTCAAAACATTACAAACCCATACAACGTAAAGCTACATTTTTTTTTAGCCATTCAGAGAACATTTACCTTCTAACCTACAGATATTAAATATTAATCAGACTTTCAATTTTCAGTACTATGTCTCTATGAATATGATAATGGTACACAATACTGACGCGTTGATAAGACATGTGCAAGAGTTAGGTAACTATTTCTAAACATTTCACCTACACAGTAGGTTTCTTCAGTCGAGTACAGAGGAGGCAGCAGAAGCAGTAGAGATATCTCGTAAAGACGATATAATCAATCCATCACCCTAGAAGACTTAGTATTGAGGCTGACCTGCCCTCCCAATGATTACATTCTTATTTCTACTAGTGGGCTCCGTCTCTCCTGTCGGCAAGATTATCTGCGCCTCACCTCTGACAGTATACAAGTTTCCATACTGTTGCTTCAGCTTCACACTGCTCCAGACTGTGGAGCAATCTCTTCAAGCTAAGGGACTGACCCCCTCAAAACTAAGTCTTCAAAGGGTGATGGACTGATTACATCGTTTTTACATCTCTACTGCTTCTGCTGACTCCTCTGTACTCGACTGAAGAAGCCTACTGTGTAGGCGAAACGTTTCGAAATAAAGTTACCTAACTTTTGCACATATATATCTTACTCATCCACTATGTCTACAGTAAAATAGTTTATTCGAGTTTCATCAAGAATCACCTAATATTATCACCTTTATATTCAAACATATACACATGCACAAGTTGTGAACAGTGTCCTCTGTATCACAATTTTATTGCTCAGCCACAAGCTATGAGTGAGAACAATATGGCACAATACTTGACTGGAACAATACACAAAAAACTCGCACAAAGAAGAGAGAAGCTTGCGACGAAAGATAGAGAGCCAGTGTATATATACAGGCAAGCAGACAAGGACGGGACAAATTTAATTCAAGTTTATTCTCTATAATGGTTACAATGTGGGGTTTACAGGTTTTGGGTATTTTGTGGTTTACATGTTATAAAATACTAATTACAGAGGGGGCCACTAGGACACCTAGCATGGCTAGGCATTTCGAGCAGACTTAGATTAATTCTTAACATTAAGTCCTTACAGATTATAGTATTAAGGCTAAGTGACTACATCATAATTTTGAGTTTAGCAATGTGAATGCTTTTGTTTTGGCACAATACAAGGTGTCTATATTTGAGTAACATAGGCAAACTTATGACTAGTTAGGATTTATTATTTTAAGATTAAGACTAGTATTTCTGGGTTTATAGTTAGTGGGTGAGTGAGTGTAATTTTGAACCACCAGGTGGTTATCATGTAGTTAGTTGTCGGGGTGGATCAGGGACATAAGATGTTTTCCAACTGTAGTTTTGAAAGTGATGAATGTGTCTGCAGTTCTAGAGTTTTCAGGTAGGGTGTTCCAGATTTTAGGTCCTTTGAAATACATTGATTTTTTTGTAAAGGTTTAGTCGAACACGGGGAATATCATAGAGATGTTTGTGTCTGGTGTTATGCCTGTGGGTCCTGTCACAACTATCAAGAAAGCATTTTAGGTCAAGGTTAATATTGGGATTTAAGGTCCTGTAGATATAGACTACACAGTAGTAAGTGTGGATGCTCTGAACAGGGAGTAAGTTTAGATCTATGAAGAGTGGGGGGGGGGTGTTGCCAGGGATGGGATTTAGTGATTATTCTTACTGCGGCTTTTTGTTGGGTTATTATTGGCTTTAGGTGTGTTGCTGCAGTTGAACCCCAAGCACAGATAGCATAGGTGAGGTATGGATATACAAGTGAATGGTATAGTGTGAGAAGGGAAGTTTGCGGTATGTAGTATCGTATCTTGGAGAGGATCCCCACCGTTTTGGATACTTTTTTTGTTATGTGTTGGATATGGGTGCTGAAATTTAGGTTTTTTGTCGAGGTATAGACCAAGGAATTTGCCCTCATTATGTCGGGCAATTAGAGTGTTGTCGATCTTAATTTTAAGTTGCGCAACACCTGCTCTGCTACCAAACATAATATAGTAGGTTTTGCCAGTGTTAAGTGTAAGTTTATTGGCTGTCATCCAAGTCGATATTTTGAGCAGCTCCTCGTTAACAATGGTGTTGAGGGTGGCAAGATTAGGGTGGGAGATGACATAAGTCGTGTCGTCAGCAAAGAGAATGGGTTTCAGGTGTTGGGATATGTTTGGAAGATCATTGATGTAAATGAGGAAGAGCAGGGGTCCAAGGACACTTCCCTGCGGAACTCCAGTATCAAGTGGCTGTATTGATGAGGCTGTGTCTTTAATGGTGACATACTGATACCTATTAGAAAGGTAGGATTTAAAATATGCAAGCGCATGGCCTCTTATACCATAGTAGTCAAGTTTGTGGAGTAGGATGCCGTGGTCTACTGTGTCAAACGCTTTTCTTAGGTCAGTAAAAATTCCTAGCGGATATTCCTTATTTTCCAATGCTTTGTAAAGCAGGTCTAGCATTTTTATAATTGCATCATTAGTGCTTTTATTTTTCCTGAATCCAAATTGGCAGGGGTTGAGTATGTTTTGTGACGTTATAAATGAATATAGTCTCCTGTGCACGAGTTTCTCGAAGATTTTGGATAGCAATGGTAAGTTTGATATTGGCCTATAGTTGTTTATGTCTGTAGGGTCACCACCTTTATGTATTGGTGTAACCCTTGCTGTCTTGAGTAGCGTCGGAAAGTGCTAGTTTCTAGTGACTTGTTAAAAAGTAATGTAATAGCATGCGAAAGGACATGGGCCACTCGCTTGTACAATAATGGTGGGACGTGAGACAGATTCCTCGAGTTAAATAAAAAAAAAATTATTATTTATTTATTTATTTATTTATTTGAACATGATACAGTGAAGTACAAAAAAATATAGTTAAATGCAGCATGCCAAAGCCACTTGAATGCAGAGCATTATGGGCAGGCTTAAAATTAACTTAAGATTAACTAAGCAATGATATATTCAGTGGTACAAAAATTATTGTAAAACAGATAACAATTTAGTACAAATGAGTATTACAAAGACAGGTCATATGGTCATTTACTGTGTTGCTGTGTAATCAGTAGAATGGAGTATTCTGTTAGGTAATGAAGTTAAATAGTAAAGTTTGATTGGGTCACAGGTTGACATACGAGATACAATAATGAGATACATATACGAGATACAATTTATGAGATACAGTTATTCAGTATTTATTTAGTTGTGGGTGAGTAAGTGATTTTTGAGAAGAGACTTGAATTTATAAACAGACAGTGTTTCTTTTATATTCACAGGTAGTGAATTCAAGATTTTATGGCCTTTTATGTGCATTGAGTTTTTTGCATAGCGTGCGATGGACACGAGGAACATCTAAGAGTGATCTGTCTTGTGTTATGGTCATGTGTTCTGTTAAGGTTGGTAAGGAGATGTTTGAGGGGAAGGTTTATGTCAGAGTTAAGTGTTCTATGTATGTAGTAGGTGCAGTAATAAGTATGGATGTTTTGTATTGTGAGTAGGTTTAGAGTTTTGAATATTGGTGGAGTGTGCTGTCTGTAGTGGGAATTTATCATCATTCTGACTGCAGCCTTTTGTTGGGTGATTAGTGGTCTGAGATGGTTTATTGTTGTTGAGCCCCATGCACAAATTCCATAGGTGAGATAGGGGTAAATAAGTGAGTGATATAGGGCCAGGAGGGCTGACTGTAGAACATGGTACCGTATCTTCGATAGTATGCCTACGGTCTTGGAAATTTTTTTGGAAATTTGTTGTATATGTGTTTGAAATTTGAGTCTATTATCAAGGTGGATTCCTAGGAATTTTCCCTCTGAGTTTTGTGATAGGTGATCCATTTATCATTATGTTAAGAGACACATCTGCAGCTCTGTTACCAAACTGAATGTAGTAGGTTTTGCCAATGTTTAGAGTAAGTTTGTTGGTCCTCATCCAGGTTGATATTTTCTGTAATTCGGTATTTACAGTATTGGCTAGCATGACTGGGCTCGGGTGGGAGTAGACGTATGTAGTGTCATCTGTAAATAGTGTGGCTTTGAGTAGTTGCGATGCATTTGGTAGGTCATTTATGTATATGAGAAAGAGAAGAAGGCCTGTGGGACACCAACTGTAATTGGCAGTGCGGAAGAGTTTGCCCCATTTGTGTACACACATTGGCTTTTGTTGCTGAGGTATGACTTTAGGTAGTTGAGGGAGTGCCCTCTTATACCATAGTGCGACAATTTTATGTGGAGCAAGTCATGGTCAACTGTGTCGAAAGCTTTACGTAAGTCAATGAAGATCCCCAATGGGACTTCTTTTTTCTCTATTGCTGTATAAATATGTTCTAACATGTGGATAATAGCATCACTAGTATTTTTATTAGGCCTGAACCCAAATTGACAGGAGTTGAGTATGTTGTGGGAGATGAGGTAGGAATAGATACGCTTATGGATTAATTTTTCAAAGATTTTAGAGAGAGGGGTAAGTTGGATATTGGCCTACAGTTATTCAAGTCTGTGTGGTTTCCTCCTTTATGGATCGGGGTGACCCTTGCTATTTTGAGAACTGTAGGAAAGGTTGAGGATTCAATGGATTTGTTAATGTTGCAATGATTGGTGATAGCACCTGTGTCACTTTTTTGTATATAATGGGTGGTAAGGTATTTAAATCTCCTGTCTTGTTTTTTAGTTTGTTGATAAGGGAGACTTCAGTTGGGTTAGTCGGAGCTAGGAACAGTGTGTTCAGGTAGTTGCCAGTGAGGTAGTCATTGGGTGGGGTATCTGAGCTTGGGATTTTATTGGCAAGGTTTTTTCCTATAGTGGAAAAGAAATCATCGAGTCTGTTTGCTGTTTCAGTAGGTGGGAATTGGGGTTCATCTGGTTTTGTTAATTCAATTTCGCTATTTCGTTTTATCTTTTTTGTTCCTAGTATTTCTGATAGGGTTTTCCAGGTCTTTTTTATGTCACCTCGTAAGTTGGATAATCTGTTCTCCTAATACATTTTTTTAGCCCTTCTTATTAGGCTGGTTAGGAGTGACTTTATGATCGCGGTGACTTCCGTGGGCTCAGTTGGTGCAAGATAGAAAGAATTTGGGAAATTCCCATCTAGGTAGTCCCCGGGACGGGCATTGGTACGTGGGATTTTACTGGCCAGATTAGATCCTATGTTTGAGAAGTCGTTTATCTTGTTAGCTGTATCAGTGGGATGCAGTGGTGTTTCATGAGGTTGAGTTAGAACAATATTTTTTTTTTTCAGTTTGTGGGTCCCCAGAACCTGGGAAAGTGTTTTCCAGGTCTTTTTTATATCTTCTCTTGTGTCAGTGAATCTGCTGTAGTAGTACAGTTGTAGTAGTAGTAGTAGTAGTAGTGGTAAGTCTGGAAACAGAGGTAGCACAGTGGTTTATGTGGGACAAGATATAATAAGGGGGAGTGAAGGGTGGAGGGAGACAAATGTAGTAGGAAAGGTAGTAGTAGTAGTAGGAGTGGGGGTCAGTCAAATGAGAAGATTGAGGAGCGGTGTAGGAGAGCTAAGAGCCCACAAGGGGTAGGACCAAAACCACAGGGAAAGGGGGAATAAAGGACAGGACACCCTAAGGCAGAAGAATGGAAAAACGAAGAAAAAGGAAAAACAGAAAAGGAGAAGAGGCAGACAGAGGAGGAGGAGAAATTATCAGGTTAAGTAACGAGCATTGGACAATGTAATGAGAAATGAAGGCATCTACAGAGACAAAGCCAGGACTAAGATTCATACCATGAAAGTTGTGAATAAGGGATGATTCAACAGACAGCAACTGTGAATGTTAAAAGTAGGGAAAACAGCTCTAGCAGAGGACCAGTCAATAGGAAGACTATGATCTTTAACATGACAGAAAAGATCATTACTGGTGTCGGCAAGCATAACACTTCGTTTATACTCCACGAGTCTGTCAGAAAGAGAGCGGCCAGTTTCTCCAAAGTACTAAAGATGAGCAAGAAAAAAAGTAGATACCAGGGGCATCTATAGGAGGAGAGGTACGCACTAGATTACTGCGAAGGGTGTTAGTTTGGCGAAAAGTAAGTTTGATGTCTAAGGATCGGAGAGTGTTGTTGAGATTAGAACGGCTGGCAATATAGGGAAGGCAGAAAACAGAAGATTTCGCAGGAGTAGAGAGTATTGGAGAGAAAGTCCATTTAGCCTGTGAAAATGCAGAGTTTATGAAATGGGAAGGGTAGCCAAGACCAGAGAACGAATTACGAAGAGTGAAAATTTCTGATTCAAGGAACTGAGGGTCACACATGCGGAGGGCATGGAGAAAGAAATGAGAACACTTTTCTTGACATGGAACATCGTAAGAAAAGCTGCGAATATACCTGCCACTGTTCAAGGGCTTGCGATAAACGGGGAAAAAAAAAGCCTGTAGCCGAGCGGTGGACAAATACATCAAGGAAAGGAAGCACAGAATCAGATTCCCATTCAGCTTCAAGCTTGATGGAAGGAGCAAGACTGATAAGGGCATCGAGAAGCAGCTGGAAGAGACTAGTCATGAGGCCAAAGAGCAAAGATGTTATCTACATAGCGGAGCCAAAGGAAAGGGCGCACAGCAATAGACGGAAGACCAGTTTCGAAGTATTCCATATAAAGGTTAGCAAGAACAGGGAGACAGAGGAGAGCCCAACAGAGGAGACAGAGGAGAGCAAAACCGAAAGTTTGTGAGTAAAATGTACCTTAGAAGGAAAAGGAATTAGGGTCTACACAAAGACGGATAAGATCAAGAAAGACATTAGTAGTTATAGGGAGATGAAGAAACCTTTCATTGGACTTCTCTCTGCGAAAATTAAGATCATGACTTATCTCTACCACTACTCCCTCTCTCTTGGTTCCGTCCCGTCTGCTCGCATAAAATATAATATAATATAATATATATTAATTATATAATTTATATATATATATATATATATATATATATATATATATATATATATATATAATATAACTGGCTTCCAATATAAAAGGCACAACTTCACAGGCAACTAGCACTAACGTCCCCTCCCGAAGAAGACCCAGAGAGGACTGTGGCCATCCTAGTGTACCATGGAGTCAACGTCCCAGACTGTTGCCCGTGATAGCAACATATCCTCCTCCTCGATAGTGTCCACAGTTAAGAGTGTATGTGTGTGCATATGCATATATCTCTGAATATACGTATATAATGCGTCCAGGGTGCACATGTATATGATCCAATGTTAACATTACAGACGGCGTTGTCGCTTATGAGACGCACCAGATGAACTGTCCAGAACAGTGCTTGAGCAGCATACGTTGCAATATTGCGGAACCCATTCTCCTTCGGGAGCCAGAGACAGATCATCGCAAGATTAAGACCCGTACCAGGAACCCGGTCTGGGCGAACTTTATACGTACATACAAAAGGCACAGTTCTCATGCTTCAGCTTTATGTTCATGTAGATCATGGAGCTGGACGCTCCTCAAGACAAAGGGACTGACCACCTCAAAACTACTACTTCAGAGCTGATGGAATGATTACATCTGTATCTCTCCACTGTTTCTGCTGTCTGCGACTTTTAATCACCTACGTACTCAACCGAAGAAGCCTATGTTGTACGTGAAACGTTTTGGGTATAAAGGTACCAAAGTGTTAAACATGTGTTTTGTTCATCAAGAAGAACGGTAGTATGACAGGCAGACTGACGCGACAGTAGACTGCCACAGATAATTGTAGACTGATAGGCAGAACAGCGGGTAGAATAGTAGACTGGCAGGAATAATTGATGATGACAGGTAGACTAACATTGACAAGTAGACTTATAGGTGAACAAATCTTCATCTTAAGAGCAATAAAGAAACAGACACAAAGTAGATGATGACACAGTAACTCTACCAATGACGACACAGTAACTCTACCAATGACGACACAGTAACTCTACCAATGACGACACAGTAACTCTACCAATGACAACACAGTAACTCTACCAATGACGACACAGCAACTCTACCAATGACGACACAGCAACTCTACCAATGACGACACAGCAACTCTACCAATGACGACACAATAACTCTACCAATGACGACACAATAACTCTACCAATGACGACACAATAACTCTACCAATGACGACACAGCAACTCTACCAATGACGACACAATAACTCTACCAATGACGACACAATAACTCAAACAATGACGACACAATAACTCTAACCAATGACGACACAATAACTCTACCAATGACGACACAATAACTCTCCCAAATGACGACACAATAACTCTACCAATGACGACACAATAACTCAAACCAATGACGACACAATAACTCTACCAATGACGACACAATAACTCTACCAATGACGACACAATAACTCTACCAATGACGACACAATAACTCTACCAATGACGACACAATAACTTCTACCAATGACGACACAATAACTCAAACCAATGACGACACAATAACTCTACCAATGACGACACAATAACTCTACCAATGACGACACAATAACTCTACCAATGACGACACAATAACTCTACCAATGACGACACAATAACTCTACCAATGACGACACAGTAACTATACCAATGACGACAAAGTAACTATACCAATGACACAGTAACTATACAATGACGACACAGTAACTCTACCAATGACGACACAGTAACTATACCAATGACGACACAGTAACTATACCAATGACGACACAGTAACTATACCAATGATGAGAGTAACTATACCATGCGGGTTATTTGTGTATCGTTCCAGTCACGGTATTGTGCCTTTTTGTTATTTATACCAATGATGACAGTAACTATACCAATGATGACAGTAACTATACCAATGATGACAGTAACTATACCAATGATGACAGTAACTATACCAGTGATGACAGTAACTATACCAGTGATAACAGTAACTATACCAGTGATAACACAGTAACTATACCAGTGATAACACAGTAACTATACCAGTGATAACACAGTAACTATACCAGTGATAACACAGTAACTATACCAGTGATAACACAGTAACTATACCAGTGTTTAACACAGTAACTATACCAGTTGGATAACACAGTAACTATACCAATGATAACACAGTAACTATACCAGTGATAACACAGTAACTATACCAGTGATAAGAAAGAGGCACCACCAGACATCATAGCAATCACAGAAACCAAGCTTACAGGTATGATAACAGATGCCATCTTCCCAACGGGATACCAGATCCTGAGGAAAGACAGAAGAAACAGGGAGGGGGGAGGAGTGGCATTGCTGATCAAACACCGATGGAATTTTGATGAGCTGGAGAGAGGAGACAGCGGAGAAGAAAGTGATTGCATAGCGGGAACGATTCACTCTGGAGGTCCCAAGGTGATAATTGCAGTGATGTATAACCCCACCACAGAACAGCAAAGGGGGCCAAGGCAAGAGTATGACGAGAGCAATAGAGCGATGGTTGACACACTGGCTGCAGTGGCCAGAAGAGCTCATACATGCGGGCAAAGCTCCTGATCATGGCGACTTTAACCACAAGGAGATCGAATGGGGGAACTTGGAGCCACATGGGGGCCAAGATACATGGGGGGCTAAGATGATGGAGGTGGTACGGAAAACTTCATGTACCAACACGTAAGGGACACTACAAGAGAGAGGAGAGATGAACCAGCAAGACTGGACTTAGTATTTTACCTTGAGTAATGCAGATATCGAGGACATCACATATGAAAGACCCCTTGGGGCCAGCGATCATGGTTTTGAGCTCGAATACACAGTAGAGCTACAAGTGGAGGGGGAAGCAGGAAGGCCAGGACGAATGAAACCAAACTACAGGAAAGGGGACTACACAGGAATGAGGAACTTCCTGAATGAGGTTCAGTGGACAGAGAACTGGCAGGAAACCAGTTAATGAGATGATGGAATATGTAGTCACAATGTGCAAGGAGGCTGAGGAGAGGTTTGTACCCAAGGTAACCCGGAATAATGAAAAAGCCAGGATGAGCCCATGGTTCACTCAAAGATGCAAGGAGCAAAACCAAGTGTGCTAGGGAATGGAAGAAATATAGAAGGCAAAGGACCAGGAGAATAAGGGGAGCATCGTAGAGCCAAAACGAATATGCACAGATAAGAAGGGAGGCCCAACGTCAATATGAAAACGACATAGCAGCAAAAGCCAAATCTGACCCGAAGCTGTTATACAGCCACATTTAGGAAGAAAAAACCGTCAAGGACCAGGTAATCAGGCTAAGGAAGGAAGGAGGAGAGACAACAAAAAATGACAGTGAAGTATGTGAGGAACTCAACAAGAGTTCAAAGAAGTGTTCACAGAGGAGACAGAAGGGGCTCCAGAAAGACGGGGAGGTGGGGTACACCATGTGCTGGACACAGTACACACAACCGAGGAAGAAGTGAAGAGGCTTCTGAGTGAGCTAGATACCTCAAAGGCAATGGGCCAGATAACATCTCTCCATGGTCCTGAGAGAGGGAGCAGAGGCGCTATGTGTACCCCTAAACAACAATATTCCAAAACATCTATCGAAACAGGGAGAATGCCTGAGGCATGGAAGACAGCAAATGTGGTACCAATCTTTAAAAAAGGAGACAGACATGAAGCACTAAACTACAGACCAGTGTCCCCTGACTTGTATAGCATGCAAAAATCATGGAAAAAATTGTCAGGGGAAGAATGGGTGGAACATCTAGAAAGGAAGATCTCATCACCAGCAGGACAACATGGTTTCAGAGACGGGAAATCCCTTGTCACAAACCTACTGGAGTCTATGACATGGTGACAGCAGTAAGACAAGAGAGAGAAGGGGGTGGGATTGCATTTTTTTAGACTGCAAGAAGGCGTTTGACACAGTACCACACAAGAGATTAGTGCAAAAAAATGGAGGACCAAGCAGGAATAACAGGGAAGGCACTGCAATGGATCAGGGAATACTTGTCAGGAAGACAGCAGCGAGTAATGGTACGAGGAGAGGTGTCAGAGTGGGCACCTGTGACCAGCGGGGTCCCACAGGGTCAGTCCTAGGATCAGTGCTGTTTCTGGTATTTGTGAACGACATGACGGAAGGAATAAACTCCGAGGTGTCACTTTTGCAGATGACGTGAAGTTGATGAAAGAGTTCATTCGATCGAAGACCAGGTAGAAATACAAAGGGATCTGGACAGGCTGCAGACCTGGTCCAGCAACTGCTCCTGGAGTTCAATCCCACCAAGTGCAATGTCATGAGGATTGGGGAAGGGCAAAGAAGACCGCAGATGGAGTACAGTCTAGGGGGTCAGAGATTACAAACATCACTCAAGGGAAAAAAATCTTGGGGTTGAGTATAACACCAGGCACATCTCCTGAAGCGCAACATCAACCAAATAAAATGCTGCAGCATATGGGCGCCTGGAAAAACCCCAGAACAGCATTCCGACATCTTTAAAAAGGAATCGTTCAGGACCCTGTACACCGTGTACTTAGCCCATATGGAGTATGCGGCACCGTTTGGAACCCACACCTAGCCAAGCATGTAAAGAAA